CGCAGCGGTTGAGCGCTGGGTTGCGAAGCTGCCCGCGGCCTCTGCGGCGCCGGTTCGATCCCCAGCTGCTCCCCGGCCACCGGAGGAGGGTCCCACCTGGTGCGCAGACCTCTCCTGCCGCCCGCTGCTCCCCTCAGCAGTGTACTTCGGTCCTTCTGCCTGCTCTGCTCCCCGCTCTGGCTCTGGTGAATTCTCGCACCCTCCCGCGCTTCTGACTGTACCCAGTGCATGTATAAACAAAACAAACAAACAAACCAGCAAACAAATAAATAAAGCATGCCTCTAAAAAAAAAAAAAAAAAAAAATCTGGGGCATATGCATGGAGAATATACTCTTGGGAGTTCCACATGCTATAAAAGTAAAACAGTGCACATTGCTTCTGGGCATTGTAAATCTACTCTGGACCACAAAGAGAAAACAAAAATTCTGTATTCCTTTAGGATCATATCAAACCAGCATGAAACTTCTTCATCCATTTAATCTAGTCAGCAATAACCCTATCAACAAGCAGACAGGTTCTATTTCAGAATCCAACCGTAACTGAGGTTCGAGATTTCATCACTAATTCCTGAGGAGACTAGGTAGACTGTTGCTACTGCTCTGGCAGGAAGGTCTGCTGGTATTTACAGCTCAGTGAACAGTAAGGAAGTGGAGAGCACCATCCATCAGCAAAGGAGAACTCATCTGCTACTTGATCTGACATTCTGTTCCCGCTCACACTGTCTCCAGAGAGCAAGGTGCATCCGTTTGAATAAACATGGAGACAAGACATGGGAGAGGGACAAAGCTGCCAAAGAGATGATTGCAGAAATAACAAGTCCACAAATCTAGAAGAGCAGTTCTCAGTGGACGCAGCCTCAATAGGAGACCCTTTGGTGATGTGCAGGAAACACCCTCTTAGATGGCCGAGATTTCCCAAGTAAAGACTGCAAGTTGCCATTCACGCCACTAATGTTTGCCACGTAGTAGGTGCTAAACAGCAGTGTGTTGAATGAATGCAGGCATGGCCTGGACCTAAGCCAAGCAGCAGATACCCTAATGAGGGCAAACTGTGGTGCCCATAGCAACTCCACAGTTCATTTTACATTTTTATCAGGTAGATGGTCTAAGCAGTTGTCACTATTTGTTCAGAACAGGAAGTCATTTGAGTCCATACTTCATAAAATATAATTCTTTTAAGATATTTCTTTGTAAAGGTTTTGTAATTAAGTAAAATTAACACCCACTTTAAAAACCTTGATTTGGCTGAACAACTGAGAGAGTCCCAATGACGGACTGTAAAAATGATGAGATGATCGTTAGGGCACGATCTCCTAACAAGTGAGATTACTTCAAATGCCACATGCACAAAGAAGTTGCCGATTACTCAGAGTATGAGTAAAATTTTATTTGAGCTGTCTCAGTTATTGTTGTTTATTTCTCCCGAAGGAAATGGTTTGGATTGTCTGACATCAAACTCCCAAACACTAGTTCACAATCACATACTCAAAGGAATAAAAAACAAACCCAGAAAGCTACATCCATATCAAATTTCTAATAAAGTATTAAGAATCAGGATTTTAAAATGACAATCTGTAGCATCTTTTCCATGGTGCCAATTTCTCATTACAACATGCATCAAGTAAAAGAATTTCAAAGGTCAGTCCCCCTGCAATGTTCCTAGGCTGATATGCTTATTAAGACTTTGCTCTAAGCAGCATCTCCCAACCAGTCCCTTATCACAGAATTTCAGTTACCAAAGGCATATATGGAAGCCTACTCATTCTTCTAACTGGCATGCCACAGCACAGATGCGAATACAGGCTGAATGGAATGGCTCTTTGCTCTCCTGAAAATGTTGATTAAAAAGGGCCTGAAGATAATGTGAATATCAAGATTCTTCTATCAGTCCCACAGGCTGACCTGTTAAGTCCCAGTCCCCATTAGGAAATCACGTTTTCACAGGGCATTACCTAAGGAAAATACTCATTTCATCTGCCCAGGTGAAATAAAACAGCATTCTAATTAACTCATACATATGGCCGGATAGTTGGTCACCAATGGAATTGCACAGGGAAGTCAGAAACTGCCTAGATTTCTGGCCAGCCCACTCACAGTACAGTCCCCCTGATTCAACTGACTCTCAGTTGAGTGGTGATGGGGAATATCATCTCTGTAAGGGAGGACTCGAAGAATTTGTCACTAGGATACAGTGACACCAATTCCACATTTTGTGGTTAATAAAACAAGTCCTGCATCCAGCTTGGCACAAGGCCCTGATCTGATTTATTTCAAGCTAACTGGAGGGCTCAAAGGAAAAGCTACCATTCATGAATGCTTCAGGAGGACAGGACGCTGGGGTCCACTATCCACTAAATTTACATGGGCCAAATCTTTGACCTTTCCAGCAAATTTAATTTAGCCTATTTAGCCTATTTCCTCAAGAGAGTTGGTATATTATTGCTGTTGTTTTAGAAAAAATATTAATAGATCTACTTATAAAATCTCGGTTTTGCCTGACATTTTTCTCCAAAATAGTGTGGGGAGCATGGGTGAGGCGGAACTGCAGGGCAAAGAGAAGAAATGCTTGGATATCTGATCTAAAACATCTCAAAGACAAAGCCTTTGATATTTGTTTTTGGTCAGTGAAACCAAATAGGAGACACACAAGACTTTCCCAGGAAAGATTACATACAGCCTTCATTTAAGATTTCGTGCCCCAGGATATAATTAGGAAATTTCATTCTAAAATGGCACGCCTATCTCCTCTGAGAGCTCAGCTCTCTTTGAATAAAAACAGCGAGGTACCCTTTGGGGGACTCAGTATATATTTTTAAACTTCTTATTAAATCAACCTAATTTATAGGGTAAGTTCAAGGAAAGCTGATAAGGAGTTGTTCTGAAGGATGCAAAGTTAATTTGCAGATTCTAGCCTCCCTTCTTTTCCCTCCCCCCACGTCCCCTCCCGCGAGTATTTCCGAATGCCTACGGTCCCCAGCGAAGCGGCTCGGGTCTCTCTGCCCAGGCCCCGACTCCACTCCGAACAGTGCCGACTCCCTCCGAGCCCCGCGCCCAGCCCGCGCCAAGCCAAGCCGAGCGCTGCCGAGCTGAGCCCCATCGACTTTTCCGGTCTCGGCTGGGCGCTGTCCACCACTCGCAACGCCTGAAACCTCACCCAGCTCTGGTGGCCGGGGTTTCTACCCGGCTTCGAGCCCGCCACTGCAGATTACAGACTTTTGAAGTTTCGAAACGTACCCTTCGGAAGAAAAGGGGTGACGCTGCTTGCATTTACTGATCTGCAAGGGCCCAAGCGGATGCAACATGCACCTTGTTGCAAAGAGCAATTCCCCAGGCCCCGCCTCCCCATCCATTTGGGTTGCACTAGCTCCAGATAAGCCCCAGGCCAAATTACCCGAGGCTCAGAGGGCAGCGGTGAGCCGAGGGGGGGCTCTGCAAAGAAAGCCCCATGGAGCTCTTGAACAAAAATAAGAACATGTCAAACAGACGGGTGAAATTGTCTCCGAGTTGCTGCTCCCTACCATCATGGCGCCGCCTAGAACCCGCTTGTCATGCCTGTTACACATGCAAGAATTTTTGCATCCTAGTCCCGAAACCACAAGCATGCTCCGTCTCCCACCCACCTTTCCACGAAAGGGGCTTTTATTTTCCATTGTTTTCCTACGGGATGCAATTACTTCGGCTATTCTGTCAAGTTGAAAAATAATCATTTTTGTTTACGGCACAGCAACCCCTAATTAGGAGCTGTGTGTGCACGAAGGTGTCACAGCAAAACGACGTGGAATTCTCGCTAAACGGTTTTAACGAACTCCCCTGTCCCGAACTGACAGGCCAACAGAAGCAGCAGAGCCAGGAGGCCCTGAGGGCGGGCACCCCTTCCCTACTACCCACCCCCTCCCCAAGCAAAGCAGCCTGAAGGTTCCCCAGGAACTGCCGAGTGGATGGGGCAAGAAGCAAGCCTGAGTAGGAAGGAGGGGCGAGGCTCCTTATTGAGAAAGTGTGGAAGGGAAGGAATATCCCATTTTGTTTTAATTTTCAACCATCACTCAAATCCACCTCCAGTTAATTAGGAGGGGAAACTGATACCTAAGGCAGAAGGGGGCGGCAGCAAGTGGGGCCTGAAATCCGCATTGTGAGGAGATTACATAGAGCCCCGTCTATGCAGAATGTAAATAAATACATTGATAAAGGCCATAGAGTGCAGGAAAACTGCCAGTGTCAGGAGATCAAATACTGGGAGGGTGGGGGAGGAAGGGGGAGCAGCAAGGGGCGGGCATTCAGCATCACAGCCAGCGGCCCCCTTCCACCTCTGCCTTGGATACAGCTGTTGCCAGTCACATCCCTTGGAAACCCACCCCCTCTCCTACTACATGCCCCTTCCCTTAACCCTTGTCTTAAGGGGGTGGGTTGGGGAGCAGTAACCACAGTCTCCAATTCAGCACCAAATCCATGAACAGCAGACACAGAATCCTCCCCACCCCAACCTAGGGCTGGGTCCCCTCCATCTTTTAGCCAAGTTCAAAATCACTGCCCTCCCCCAGTGTGATTATGGATATTGGGGTGTGGGTGGGGATGGAGGGAGGAGGGAAGAGAAATAGAGACAGAATGAAAGGGACACAGAAATAAAGGCAGTGATACACATGAGAAACACCCCCACGAGCAAAAGTAATGACCATAATCATGCCAATAGTGTGATGTTCTGATCAATATGGCGGACACTGTCATTCATACAACTACAGGCGGACCCCTTCCCTCCCCCCTAAAAAAACCACCCAGCCCGGGGTGGAGGAACCAGAACCAACGTAGGGCGAGGGGGAGGGGAATCAAAATCAGGTGTGTGTGTGTGTGTGTGTGTGTGTGTGTGTGTGTGTGTGGTGCGCGCATTTATGTGTGCACGCATTAAAATCGGGCCTGGAGAGCAATGTGGAATGAGCAAGGTAATACAAATGGCAAAAAAAATTATTCTTAATAAAAGTACAAATCCCAATGCCACAGGGACTTACTTCATCTGCTTCACAATGGTGCTTTTTCCTGATTCTCCAGCCCCTGTTGGGACAGACAGGGGAGGGGGGAAACTGGTAAGTGTCAGCTTAGGGGAAGGGGAGGGGGTGCAAGGGGGTAAGTAAGGCATGCGAGGGAGTGGGCGATCCTGGGCACATGGTGGTGCCAACTCGGAGAACAGGACTCCTTTGGAGCGAGCGGGGTGGGGGAGCTGGCCCAGGGGGGTGCGGAGTGGCCGGGGTCGGGGGATAGGGGTGGCGGCCCCGGTCCTTACCCAGCAGGAGTAATTTCACGTCTTTGGCGGCGCTGATGCCATCCTCTTTGAGGTTTTTCTCAATCGCCTTGCTCCGCTCGAGGGCGGCTCTCTCCTCTGCGCTCAGAGTACATCCCATGGCGGTGGTCCCTTCCCTGCCACAGCCCGCACGACTCGGCTGGCACGGCTCCCCGGCTCGGCGCGCCCCCCACCCCCCAGAGAGCAGAGCCTGGGCTCAGAGGGGGAAAAAATCACGATATCCTCCCCTTGGCTGGAAACAAAAATTTCAGGAAACAACCCCCCCCAAAAAAAAAAACCCGGCAGCCAACAAGATTCCAGCAGCGAAGACTCGCGGCGGCTGGCGGGGCTCTGGGGGTGTCGAGGAGAAGGTGGCTGAGATCTGGGGCTCCGGAGCCGAGGGAGGAGGCGTCCGCGGTCCGAGGCGGCGCGGGCTGCGGGCACGGAGGTTTGTGCACAGCCCAAAATAAATAAAATAAGAGTCGAGGCAGGAGCCGCAGCCGGAGCCGGCGGAGGGTGGGGTGGGGGGCAGGGTGGGTCCTCGCCGCGGCGGCCGGAGGAGGCGGCGGCGCGGGGTGTGGAGGGAGCGGGCTGGGGGGCGCTGCTAGTGCATGTGCATCGCCGCCCCTCAGCCGTCGGTGCGTCCGCGGCGCCTCCGCCGACCCAGCGCGCTGGGCAGGGCCGGGCAGGGGGCCGAGCCGGGGGCAGGGCTCTAGCAGGAGGCGGCGTCGCTGCCTCTCAGCGCTCGCCTCGCCCGGCGGCGTCCACCGGAGAGAGAGGGGATCGCGGGGGAGCCGCGGGCGGCCGAGAGTCCGCAGGGGGGAGCGCCCGAGAGAGCGAGGCGCGGCTGGGAGGGCGGGAGGGGGAGAGACGGAGAGCGAGCGAGCGAGCGCGCGCGCGCCACAGCCCGGGCGGGGGAGGGGGCGAGCGCGGAGCGCGGGTGCGCCGGCGGCTCTGCGCACCCCGCACCGCCCGGCGCCCGCTGACGTCAGCAGGGCCGCGCGCCGGGCCCCCGGGACGGGGAGGGGCGGCCGGCCGGGGAGGCGCGCGCCCGGGGGCTCGCGTCAGCGGGCGGAGGCGCGCGCGCGGCTCGGCCGCCCCTCCTCCAGCGCGCTCCCCCGCGCCGGCCCGCGGCTCGGGGGCGCGCGCGAGCTGGGCCTGGCGGGGGCGGGGCCTGGGGCTGCGCGCGCGCCCGGGCGCCCCGCCTCCCGCCGGCCCCGCCCGCCCCGGCGCGCGGGCTGCCCCGGCCTCCTAGTCAATGGGAGCGCGGGTCAGGTGGCCCGCCCGCGGGACCCGGGTGCCGCCTCGCTCCGGCGCCCGCTTCCCTCCATCTTGCCTCCCGCAGAGTGCCCTCGTGCCTGCTCTCGCACAGCAAGGCCGGGTGACCTCAGCGACGTGAGGAGATAGTGGAAGTGGGTAAACCGCGTTCCCGAGAATTCGTCTCTGGGGCCTCAGGGCAGGTTGGACTTTTGCCACTTCCTGCAGCCCACAGACGTTTATTGAGCACCTACTAGGTGAGCGACACGGCTGGGAGGAGAGGCTTGCGGCAGATGAGGCACAGCCAGGGCCTGCTGCCCGGGAGCCTCTGCCTGCCTTTGCCATCCTGGACCTTGCTCCAGGACTCCTGCCGCTCGTCCCAGGCCTGAGCACGGGTCTCTCCCTGGGAAGTTTTTAGAGGGGAAGGTTGTCCTGAGCCTCCAGCAAATGCTTGCCCTCCCCCGCCCCGCCCAGATGTAAACGCTTTTGCCCCTTGGACGGTTTACAGTGGTGGAGGTCTTGCCACTGCATTCCCATAATCTGCCCTCTCCCAACACAAATACATAACATGAATTTTGAGTAGATTTTTGGTGAGAAATGATTTTTTTCCCGTATCTTCTAAAACATTTTCTCCCTTTCAAAAAAGAAGAAAGAAGAAAAGGACCCAGAAATCTAGGCCAGTTAGTCAGCTAATCAAATAGGGAAGAAACATGTCCATATTTGCCAAAAAGATCTGCAAGATGTTCTGGGTGGTCTCAGATTGGAAGAAACTAGTTCTCACTGCACAAAGTTGGTTTTACAATCAGTTCCACCAGACAGCCCCAGGGCCCCTCCTAGAGAGAAGGGCCAATAGGAGAGGTTGTGTGGGGATAAGAAAGGCAAGCAGCCAGTGGAAAATGATTTTTTTCCTAACAGTTGGGCATTTCAGTGGCTCTGAGAGCAAACTTGTTGTTCCATTTCAACAATAGAAAAAAAAAAATCCCTGTTTTGGAAGTGTTACCCAGCATAAAAATACTTTTGCAATGGGAGGGGGGGCACTTTAAGGCCCACCCAGAAAACATTTTCCCCCTGATTTTTCAAAATTTCTTTGTTCCCAGTATGGTTTTGCCTCATCCTATAAATAGCTGTCAAAAGTTGTATGTAATATAATGAATATTTAATTTTGAATCACATTTTATGCATTTTAGGAAACTGACAAAAGAACTCATAAATAATTGTTTAAGTAAACAACTTCTTCCCCTCCCTCCTCCCTAACCCCCTTCCCCAGTTTCCGTGTGTGTGTGTGTGTGTGTGTGTGTGTGTGTGTTGAGGAGGGAGTTTAGAGGATTAAATCTGGTTTGCCAAAAATCAGGATGTCACTAAATAGCCTTCTAGATCCAAACCAGAGCTTAGGTACCCAAAGTCCCTCTAAAGGTTGCCTGGATGATTATGCAGATCTATCAGATATAGGGGAAAAAATGCAGCAGCCTCACCCAGATTCTGCTATGCCTACAATGCTGCATCTGAAAGACTGAAGAGGTAAGAATATAACCTTTTTATTAGATTGTGAATCATATTTTACATTTGCAAACTGTTTCATATGAAATAATTTTTAATTTAAGATCTTAGGCTCTTTGGGCATTGTGGCTTATTTGGTTGAATCAAACTATCCTTGATTTTAGGAAAATTTATTCCTACTTGGTATTATACCTGTGGAGGCACAAGCGTGGGTTTGGCATTTTTCTTTACTCCCGCAATATTTATTAACTCTGACCTAACATGTACAGGAAATATTCCATATGTACTCTAAGTGTTGTATTTCAGGTTTGTCTACCCTATTTTTTCTTTTTTCTGGGTCACTTTGCATCTTTATGACTGGGTTTCATAAGAGACTAATGATGATCCAGTTCATCTGTATAGTGCAAAAACAAAAACAAAAAAATTCATGATCCTCCCACATAAACTTCATACTTACTGTGGGGTTGGGAGCATCAAAGCTGAATGGAAAGAGTATAGACTGTGAATCCGTATTGACCTGGCTACCCATTTTAAAGCTATAAAAACTGAGCCGCTGCGGTATTAAATAACTTGTTAAGGTCATGCAGTCATTAAATAGCAGCCACTGCTCCTTTGAGAAATAACATGTTATAAAATATATAAAAACTTGTTTCCAAGACCATAGAAACCAATCATAGTCTGGTCTCCCCAAAGGAAGTGAGGATGAAAACATCTCCATTCTTTGTGAACTATTAGTTATTAGGTAATATCTTAAGAGTTTAATTTAGCCACAATTAATTACTGTCGGAATGGGAAATCACAGTCCTCACATAAGGAGCGATCAAGGACACGTGCCATTTGGTTTTATTTCATACAGTCTTTACAATTATATTTCTCAGATTATTGCTGTTGGCCAGAGAATAATGCTTCTTTACATCACCCTCAGTCAACCTTGTTATACACACGTTTTTCATCATATTTTTAATTTCAGTAGTAAGTATTTAAAGTGTTTTACATACTGTCGAAAAAGAATAGCAGCAAAGTCTACATTGAGTTGCTTTTTACCTCCTAATTCTGAAGCATGGTAATTTATGATATAAGAATATGGGCTTTAATTCAGTTAAATGAATTTCCCTATATGTTCCCTTTTGTGATTGCTTTAATTAACTATGCATGTATTGACAATCTACTGTGTTGAATATTTTTTTTAGACTCAAAGGGAGGTTGGATATCTGAAATCTTGAAATCTCTGGAATGTTTTTTCAAAACCATTCACATCAGAATCAGCTGGGTTGCTTGTTAAAAATTCCATTACCCATCTTACTTCTGCCAGAGCAGACTCTTCTACAATCTGTATTGCTAGATACTCCCCAGGTGATTTTTCTATACCAATGTGCTAGATTTTATACAAAATCTTAATGTCCAAATAGCTTGCATTTCTGAATTCAACTTTTTTTATGTTTACTAGTTTTTTTGTATTTCTGTCAAAGGAAAAAAATTATGAATAGTACTATTCTTTATAAACACTACTGTCCTGGGAAGAAAATAGGCTGAAATGTTTGGTTCATGAGCTAAATGAAACCAAGCTTGATGTCAAGTGAATTAGGCATTTTATGTAGAATGGTAGCTCACTGGAGATTTTAGGTTTCTGCACTAAGCATTTCTGTTATAAAATTGATAGCTCACCATCTAACTTAGTGGTGAATTTAATTTTGAAGACTGTCTGGATAAAGCTAAGAGATAACAGTGTTTTCTGATAAATATCTGGTATTCATGAGGGAAGAAGGTATCGATCACACTTTTTTAATGTCCCTAGAAAACAGGCCCCTATTTAGCCCTTATTCAGCATCTCTCTAACTGATATTTTTTTGTGCATGTGTAGGGTAAGGTAAAAAGTATCAGGCTTTTCTGCCCTCCCGCAATTAGGATAGATGACGGAACACTGTGGTCCCGAATGCATGCCTGATGGCGGGCACCTGGAGTAGGGTGTGGGCATATGTAGATGGGATTCACCTGGGCTAAGACTGTACTTACAAGGGCGGCGTCACAGAGATGCCAGCAGAAGCAGAAGCAGCCGAGAGAAGCAGAGAGAACACCGGAGAGCCCAGAAAGAGTAAAGACTTGCTGGGGACTGGGAGGTCTGCCAGCCTCCTGGCAACCCCCCTGCACCCCTGCCTGCTGTGTACATGGTAAATCCCAATAAAAGCCTGAAAAGCCACTGAGGACGCCAAGGACTCTCTCCTCCTTTACCTGGTCTGCTGGATTAGAAAACCTGCCCTGTGCCCATTCCTGCTGTTACAGCATGTCTCAGACATACCAGAGCAGTTGTTCTCAAATATTATTATACATGAGAATTACCTGGGATACAGTTAAGTCAGTCTGAGGTGGAACCTTACTTACCATGTTGGTTTTGACAGTCATACTTTCTCCATCCAGTGAGACTGATGCCCTTGGGGAAACAACATCCTGTACTCCAAACTCCTTTGAGGTGAGGGGGTTGTCTTACCACTTTGTGTCTACATTTCCATCCCAAAAGGTCAAGCATGACCCAAGGATGGAATCAGATAATGTATCAGATTTCTTCCCAGCTCTGAGATGTTTTGAATTTTTTAATAGAAATTTTGTGACTTGATTGTTGGGAGAGACCCCGCGCAGTGAGCACATGGGCCTTAACCTAAGTCTCTAAGGCATGTGAAAACACATGCGTCTTGGAGGAAAACCTCTGAGTGACCGGACCTGGTGTTGAGTGCCTGGAATGTGACCTGCGTAGAGTCATGCCTCCGTATCTCCACAGTCAAAAACTAATTAAGAGCAAAACTCCTCTGCTTTAGCTAGTGGATGATTAGATTAAGTGCTCTAGCTAATGAGCAATCAGATTACGTATAGGAGCTGACCACCTGGCACCCAGAAGTCGGGAGTAGGCAGCTATCAGTAGCAAAGTAAAATAGTAATCATTTAAGTTGTCACTGTATGGTATGCATTGTTGTGCCCAGTGCACTTTGAGAAAGTATATAATGAGCACTAAGACAATAAAGATTCACTACATGCTGGGCATGACAGTCCCCCGTGTCTGATTTTCCCTCACCGTGTCCCAGGTCCAGGACTCACTAGAAGTCCACAAGTGGCGCCCGAACAGGGACCTGAAGGGGACCTCCCACTAAAGGGATGAGGTGACAACGTCTGCAGTGGAAGTTTACATAAGGTGGTGAGTAAACAAGGGGAAGAATACAGCATGGGGCACTCAACACCTGGTCCGGTTACTCAGGTTTTCCTCCAAGACGCTTGTGTTTTCACATGCCTTAGAGACTTAGGTTAAGGCCCATCTGCTCGCTGCGTGGAGTCTCTCCCAACACTTGATAATTTTAGAAAAATTTTCTAAAATTTGGGTGAGTTCAAAATGGTAATGTCTTGTTTTCATGGGGTTCTGAGAAGTGAAATGATACTGATCTTAACAAATGGGAGATTTATTGGCATTTAGGAACTTCTGAGAAGCATATACACCAAATGTTTTTGAAATTCCCATCAAAAAATTCTTTGCTGAGTTTTGTGTCTCATTTTTTCTTTTGTAGAGTTTGTGAATACAAAAACAAAACTGGTTTCTTTTATTTATAATTGTTAGGAATAAAAGATGCCATGGGAAGAAATAAAGGTTTTGTGTGCTTTTAAACGAAGGAACTTGCATGAAGGAACCGATTAAGGCTTGTAGATAATTGAATTGTGCTCTTACGTTATTGAAGTCCATTATGTGGTCACTGTTGAGAACATTATTTGTTGAGTGTACTTTGACGGTTCAAGAACCCTAAAGAGGGTGTTCTTTGTGATTTTTCTCAATTTAGTATGGCAAGGGAATCCCACAGGGATACATTTGGCTTGAATTGAGTAGAACGTTGGAGGAGGTTAGAACTAGTGCTTTCACATTGGAAAGACTGATGGAGAGCTGAAATTGAAATTGGAAGCTTTGCTTAATGGGGGGCATTGCCTAACAGCCATGGTTCCTCTTGGAATTTTCTTGGGAAGTCTTTGATCATAAACCATGATTCTTTCTTGTTATGGCAGGAAAAACAGTATTTTTTAACCCACCTGTGCTGGGATTGACAGATAAGATTAGCAGGTACATATTTGTAAAGTATTTATTTAATATATATTAAGTCCTCCAGAAGACATATTTCTTGATGCCAAGGTTTCTTGCATTATCTATCATATATATATATTTTTTTAACTCTGTGGAGCTTTTCACACATGTAGCTCAAACACATTTTAGACATTAGCTCATTTGTCTTCCATAAGCTTCAAGGTCCAATGTCTTATTACTACACTGCTCTTTAGAGATGGAATTGTCTTTTTGTTTTTCTTTTTTGTTCCTGTCGTTTGTATTTGTGAAATCAAAAAGTAGGTCAGTTTTATCTGAATCCAGGTAAAACCATTGGCTGTAAAAAGTGTGACTGTGTGGAGGGGGAGACTTAATTAAAACTTCTTATAAGTGAGTTGAGGGTGTTTGGCCAGACTAGATTGATTTAATTTTGTGGCATGCCTGCATCCACTAAAGTACATGTGGTTTGGGGTGTTCCCAAAGTCTGCCAAGTACCAAGAACATGGTGTTCCAGTGGGGGTAACATGGTTCTTCAGTTGAGTTGATATTTGGGTGGTTATCAGTTCCCCAAAGGCCTGCAAAACCCTGACCTCTGTGGCAGAGAAAAACATTTTTATGAAATTCCTTTGTGTGTAATGGAACACATACCTAAAACTGAAATAGGGCAATTCAGAGAGAGAAAGAGAGATGCATTTTGAGCCAGACTCCTATCCCATAGGAATTTTAGCAAGGATTCATTCAAAGTTTGAAGCAGAATGAAAAGAATCCAACTGATATTCTTCTCAAACTGTCCCTTCAGTGGGCTATCTTTCTCCCTGGCCGTTGTGGCCTTGGGAGAAGGCTAAGAGAAGAGGAAAGAAAAAGGCGGAGGGAATACTCTGGATCAGTTGCACCCAATAAAAACTACAAACATCAGTGTTCCTAATGACCAAAGGAAGGACAGACACAAATTTCCATAAGAACTGAAAGTAATGACTTTAACAGTCACTGGAATTAATGACACAAATGCTTAACGGCAATCTTAACAAATATATCATTGGTGGGGTGCAGAATTGAGAGGTGGAATGAATGAGGCTAGGAAAGAACAAGCATAGATTTGGGTCAGATTAGACTGATTTAATGATGTGATTTGTCGAAATTCTTTCTTTGATTCTACCACCTCTGCTTCTGTTTCAGCAAAGGAGTGATACCAGTCATACTCCTTTATTTGACTTTATCCCCCCATAAACATTTCCTCAGCAAGAAAATTGTTATAAGAATACCATTGTCTTCATTTATTTAGTACGCAGTTATTGTGTGTGCATAATAAGCCACTCTGTGTTGCAGAGTGGGTGGGAATAGACTACTGAACACAACATACATGAATCCCTGCCATCATGATGTGCACAGTCTCTGATCTTTGAATCTCTCATACATTAAGTTTGATCTTTTTACAACCCTTTGAAATACCTAAGAATGCTATTTACATTTCATGCATAATGAAGGTAAGCTTAGAGAAATACAAGTGATTTACACAAGTTTGTAACTTACATAATCAGGAGAGTCACCCCAATTTTCTGAATTCCGAGACAATGCCAATTCCCTGATAGCCTAGGGGTTAGGTCTCCATGGCCTGTGTTCCATCCCAGAGTAGGGAGCTAACCCACATATGGCGCAGCAGACCTCTCTTGTCTCACTTGCTGCTCTCCTTAGCAATGTATTTCAGTAAATCTACCTGTACTGCTCCTCACTCTGTCTCTGGTGAATCCTCTCACCCCTTCCCCCCACCCCATACCTCTGGCCTAAACCCCAGTTTTTCTACACAAACTGAAAAAAAAAAAGATCTAGGGTTCAAAGAGTATATGTGATTGCTCTTTGAAATAGCACCTACACCAATTCTATTATTTATATTTTAGTTTCTACTTTATTCAGTAGCCCTGTCTCTGCTATTATTGATTGTCATAAATGAACTTTATCGAAGTAATTCATAGTCCCATGATATTTATTCCAATAAATACTAGCTCTTAATACAAAATAGCTTTTTTGTAATATATAACTATCAAATATTCTCCATATTTTGCAATATCCCTCCCAAATAGAGATAATGGCCACAAATTGGAGGTTGGTGCTATACAACTATTAAAGGAAGATGTTGGAAAGCTTCAGTACCAATAGGTTTGTAAAAGTAATAAATGAAATAATATTCAAAACTGAAGGGAAGTAATGTGGAGAAAGGCAGCAGAGAGAAAAGAACATTGGACTGGGGGTCAAGAGACAGAACTTATATAGTCTTGGTTCAATTCTCTTTCCAAGCCTCAATATCCTCAATCAAATAATTGAATTTTAGGCATCTATATATTCTACACCCATTAAGTCTAAATCTGAGTGCTCTGCAGGGCAAAGCAAGAAAATGTTAACACGTCCATTCAGTTTTTGAATTTGAGTCCATTTGTCCCACTGTTGAAATAGTTCCCTTTTCTTTTTTCTGCCCTTCAAATGAAAAAAATGAATCTTTCATACTTCTTGTGGCATTTCCTTTAGAAATATAATACCTTTTGGAAACAAAACAAGCCAATTTTAGGAAGGGACTATAGCTTGACTTTGATTTTTCAACTTGGTACTGACACCACTCCTAGATTGCTAGATTTTTAAGAGTCCATCCTGAAAGGTTTTTTCCAAATTGCCTTGTGTACCCTTCAGCACAGCAGGCAGATAATGGCTCATAATCATACCCAGTTGATTTGCAGAGTATTTCTTTGTGGGTGAGTAGGATGAGTGGGGAATATCCCAGTGGACTGGGCAAGGACACGCAAGGAAGTCACATAGATCCAGGAATGAGATAGCCAGTGATAATGACAAAGGGGCAGATGAATTTCACAAGATTCATCCCTTCCCCTTAAGTCTTCTTCCAAATCCTCTACTAGATCTATTCAGTTCTACTCTTCTTGGGATTTTCTCTTGCACTGGCCCTACCATTCTCTCACTTCTTTACTTTGTACATCTCTGGAATGAATCCACCTGGTTAGTTGTTACTTGGTTAACTCTGCCTAGTTTCTAAAAGGGTTTCATTAAGGAGAATGTGGAATAATGTATACTTATCTCTAACCATGAAAGAGCAAAGGATTTGGAGGTTTATCTCTTAGTGAGTTAAAAATTAATTTTTTTTCTTTCACTACAAAGGTAATTGCTGTTTTAAAGAAAAGTAAAATTGAACAAGAAAATCTAGGTTCTCTATCCTATAGTGACTGTCTGTGACATTTCAGAATTTCTTGAGGGTGAAGATAACTTGCTGTTGACTTGTTGACTCCAGAAGCCAGTTGTGCTCTGCCCCCCTCAAGAAGTGATTCTATTTAGGAATCAGCTTCGTTGACAATGACAGCTAACTGCTATCATTGTAACTGCTGAGAAAAATCAATATCGTCCCATGACAACCTGAGGATTATGTCTGAAACAGAGCTCAAGAAGGGAATGGGAACTTGGTTTTGGTAGGTCTTTTCCTGTCCCTTCAGCAGGGACACTTAGCTCCTTGGCACAGGCTAATTCTTGTAACAGGTCCTGGACTGACCCAGGTCATGAGCAAGGAAAATCCAGGAGCCCCTAGATCGGCTGCATGGCAAGCATCAAATCAGTTTCTGTGTCGGTTCTAATTTGAACTGACCCTGGCCCTAGGGAGCAGACTCTCACTTTGGTCCTTGTGATTGGTTCACGTCATAGGCCTCTTGATTTTCTCATATATCTCATTATATTCTGGAGCTCCCCTTGGAGATTGTGATTTAGTGACTCTAAAATGGAACTTAGAATGTGCATTTTTTTTTTGAAGTCTCATTTTTTTTGGAATTCTCATTTATTTTTAAAAATTATTTATATATATTTTACATCACTTTTTTTTTTTTTACAGTGTTTGCTTTCTTTTCTCAGGTGTAGTCCCCATAGAATTCCCACCACCAATTCACCCGTGCACCATCATCATCATCCCTTGTGCTCTTCCCCCACCTCGTTTTGATCCCTCTCCCTCCCCGAAATCTGCATTTAAACATGTACTCCTCAATAATTTTGAATAAGTTGTATAAAATACACAATTTGAGGAACCTGATCCTGTTTCTGGGACTTGGTGCTTCTTTTTCAGATTTATCCTTTCACCAACCAAACCCAACTTGAA